ATAATATCGACATGAGATACCATATGTTTACAAGTACATACTTTCAAATTTGATTAGTCGATGCTGTACGTGTGCATGTACATAAATTATAGTTAGTTGTCTGTATGTGATACTATACACAGGTTGCATGCAACGCTTCTTCGTCCATTGTTCTCAATATGCCACATCCAGTGATTCATTCCGAAATACGAATACCAGTACTGTAGGGGTGACACGTAGATATCGATGGCGATACGTAGAATGTATACATATATATATAAAGACACCTATATAGTATGTATATAAATATAACAGTTCAAATATAATATGTATACGAATGTAATATCAAATATATAGTATGTCTGTAGATATAACAATACATATTTATGTATACAAATATGATAGTACGTATATAATATGTATGCAAATATAATTACCAATACACAATACGTGTACATATATACTAATACATATATAATATGTATACAAATATGATACTACATATATAATATTTATTTATTTTAAATAATGCATACAGTACATAATAAATATACAAATAAAATATCTGAAAATATAACATAAACCCAAATACAATATTACATACACGATACATAAACAAATATAACACAACAAATATACCAGTAACTAATCTATACCCACATGGGTTTCTGGTCATATTTGCACCTCTTTACACCTGTTTAGGTTGGTTTCTGGAGCATGCAGACCCTTTGCTGAAAGTGTCAATCATCCCCAGAGGCAGTGCGGCATTGGGCTACGCCCAGTACCAGCCACAGGAGCACTTCTTGTACACAGAAGAACAGCTACTCGACAGTAAGTGCAGGGGTGTGCTATAAATCGATAGCAAGTGCTATAAATCGATAGCAAGTGCTACAAATAGATAGCGAGTGCTATAAATATATAGCAAGTGCTCTAAATAGATAGAAAGTGCTATAAATAGAAAATGGATGCTATAAATAGCTCAAGCAGTCCTATATTCTCTTATGTCCGCCCCCATTAGCCCTTACACTTTTAAGTCCACCCCCATTGGCCCTTACTCTTTTGAGTTCACCCCCATTGGCTCTTACGCCCGCAGGGATGTGCACGTTGTATGGCGGCAGAGAAGCAGAACGGCTGTTCTTTGGCAGTATTACTACGGGAGCATCCGATGACTTAGACAAGATCACGAAACTGGCCTATTCTCAGGTACATGCGATAGGGTCTAGGGTTTTAACTGAGGGTGCATGGATGGGATATAGATGTAATCGAATAGTATAAGTATGACAGGATCATATGATATGGTCATAGACTGATAGTATTGCACTGAGTGTCCAAGGATGGGATATAGATGTATTAGAATAGTATAAGTATGGCATAGTCATAAACGAATAGGAGTACACGAACCATGTCCTTGCACCACGTATAGTACACTAACACCACACAGCACTAATAGGAAAGTGACTCACACACTACGACGCCTACAGACACATATGCTAAGCCATCTATCCCATGTCATACGCTCCCCTTTGTCTGTCTCAGGTACAAGAGTTTGGTATGAACTCGGCCATAGGCAACCTCTCCTACCCAGACGAGAAGGAGTCACGCGTGCAGAAGCCATACAGTGAAGCAACGGGCACTGTTATAGACCAACACGGTACTTAGCAAATGGTTACAGCGTATTTTTTGTCTCTGTGA